AATTGGAGATAAGAGTCTCATGGACTTTCCTGCCCAGGCTGGATCCTTGGATCTCAGCCTCATGAATAGCTAAGATTATAGATGTGAGCCACTTGTGCCTGGCTTATTTTTATTTTTATTATTTTTAAGTAGTGGTACAAAGGAGTTACCATTCAACAAACTGGAGCAATCCTATTGTTAATTAATTGGTAAAATATGGTGAGGTAATCTCAACATGAGTTTTGGAAAATACATAAGCAAGTACAATGCACATTTTCAGGAAGGCATAACACAAATTCTGGACTATGTGTCATTGAGGTTAAAAGAATGAGTCATTTTATACATTTTGAAACAACCCTCATAGACTAGGGAAATCCCTGTTCTTTTATTTAACAGTCACATAGTTTCATTATTCTCTAGTCTTAAACACAATTTAGGTGACAAAATTAGCAGATATTGTCAACTGAGTAATAAAGCAGAACTATTTTTTTTGCTCCCCCACCCCTAAACCAGAACTATTTTTTACTAAACCAGAAATATTTTTTACTAAGGAAATTGTTAAAATGCATGTAAGGGAGTGTTTACAGAGAGGATACCGTAGGATAAACAGTAATAACTGAAGCACTACTCAATACTTTTTATCTACTTAATTTTTGAAATGAGCTTTTTAACACAAAAATAGAAAAAAATTGGCTGAGTGCCAGTAGCTCATGCCTGTAATACTCAGAAGGCTGAGACCTGAGGATCTGGGTTCAAAGCCAGCTGAGGCAGAAAAATTCCTGAGACTTCTATCTATAATTAACCACCAAAAAGCTGGAAGTGGAGGTGTGGCTCAAGTGGTACAGCACCAGCCTTAAGCAAAAAAAGCCAAGCAAGAGTGAAGAGCAAAGAAAACAAGAGGTTTCTTCTTTGTTGCTATTTTTGTTTTCTTTTTTTGTCTTGTTTGTTCATTTATCTGTCTTTGGGAATGTAAGAGGGGCACAGAAATGGAGGGACAACTGGGAAACAAACACATCAGTGGTACTCATTAGACACTATATTGAAAATGAACTATACAACTTGTGGATGGAAGGAGGGAAAGACTGGGAAGGAGCAAGGGAAGGGGAGATATTGTCAAAAAGAAATGTGCTCATTACCTGACTTATATAACTGTAACCCTTTCATACATCACCTTTATAATAACAATTAAAAAATTTTAAGAGAGCCCTGAGTTTAAGCTCCAGAAATGACACAAAAAAATAAAATTCAAAAATTCTTTTCTTTTCAATCATTGTCTACGTAGAATTGTCACAAAAAGTAAAATTTTGAGCTTCAGATTCAAAGGTAATATAATTTAGAACCATTTTGACTTCAAAACAATTCTTTTTTTAAAAAAGAATTACTAAAATACATCTTTTTTTTTTTTTTTTTTTTTTTTTTGGGTCCAGTCGTGGGGCCTGAACTCTGGGCCTGGGCGCTGTCCTTCAGCTCTTCAGCTCAAGGCTAGCGCTCTACCACTTGAGCTACAGCGCCACTTCTGGCTTTTTTCTTTTTGCATATGTGGTGCTGAGGAATCGAACCCAGGGCCTCATGCATGCAAGGCAAGTGCTCTACCACTGAGCCACCTTCCCAGCTCCACATCAATCATTTTTAATGAGGTTTATGGTAGCTGCTATGTATAGTTCTAAATCTAACTATGAATACAACTGTGTGATCAATTTTTTTAATACATTAATAGAAGCTTCTATATCAATAGAAGCAGGACACTAGTAGTTCATACCTATAATCCTAGCTCTTTGGGAGGCTGAGACTAAGACCTAGAAGATGGTGGTTGGAAACAAGTCTAGGCAGAAAAGTCTGTTAAACTTCATTTCCAGAAAATGCTGGATTAGAGGCCTGTTTCAAGTGGTAGAGTGTGAGCAAGAAAGCCAAGCAAGAGTATGAGTACCTGAGTTCAAGCCTCCATATTCATACCCACACAGGACTGTCTCTAAATTTAGATTATAAACTCAAAGAGAGAGAATGCTTTAATATTCATTCACTGATGCTTCTCAAGGACCTAAAATAGTACCTAGCACTGAGAAAGGAGTCATAAAAATCCCCAAATACACATCAAGATGGTACAAATATTTAGTATGCCAAATAGACATGAGATGGAGATCCTCGAAGAACATGAAATTGAAGTCTAAGTCTACCTCAACAGGATCACTGTTGCAAGCCTTCACACACAGGGTTTCACAAATCAACAAAAAAACAAATCCCAAAAAAAGTATATTGATAATGCATATAAGAAATAAATTAAAAGTTTACACTCCAGGAGTCATTGAGGTTCTGAAACCTTAAACTTACAAAAAACTGTCATAAATAAACAAATCACAAAAATGTCACCAGCACAACCAACATTTTTAACATAAATGAAGCTTTGTACTTTGTTCTTAAGATAATCCAATTAAACAAAAAAAGATACTAAGCTTCAAAAAAAAAAAAATTAGCCAGTATGGTGATACATAACAATAATCTCAGCACTCAGTAGGTTCAGGTAAAAGAATGTAAAGGTCAAGGCCAGAATAAGCTACTTTGAAAGACCCTGTCTAAATAAGTACAACAAAGTAAATTTAAAAATGGGAGGGATGAGATTTAACTCAAGTGGTAAAGTGCTTGCCTGGCAAACAAGAGGCCCCAAATTCAATCCCTGGGATTTCAAACAGTAATTAAAAAATAAAGCTAGCTGTGACCACGCACATCAGTATCCCAGCTATTCAGGAGGCTGAGAAGGGAGAATCACTTGACTGGAAGAGTTCAAGAACAGCCTAAGTGGGCTAGGAAGGTGGCTCAGTGGTAGAGTGCTTGCCTTGCTCGCATGAGTTTGATTCTTCAGCACCACATAAGCAGAAAAACCAGAAATGGTGCTGTGGCTCAAGTGATAGAGCACTAGCCTTGAGCGGAAGAGCTGAAGGACAGCACCCAGGCCCATAGTTCAGGCCCCAAACAGAGGACCAAAAAAAAAAAAAAAAAAGCCTAAGCAACACAGAGATCTTGTCATAGACAAATACATAAATATATATTTATAAATATACAAAGAATACGATTTTCACTTAAATACCAGCATATCTGCTATAAAATTTCATTTATAATCATAAGGAAAGTAGGCCTTTATCAGCTCATTTAACTATGCTAAAGGAACAATGCTAAGCAATATATTTTTGAATATTCTTAAAATTGCTAAATAACTAGTGGATTCTAAGTAACTCAACAGATCCTAATTTAGAATCCCAATTTAATAATCAATAGTGTTTTATGCAAAAAAAAAATTTCTTCAAGGGCAAAACATTTACACAAATCAGAAAGTAAAACTCTCATGGCTCAAAATTGAAATATTTTGCAATGGCTCCTAGGCTCAGAAAAAATTTTTTAAATGTCTAATCTGTTTGACTATATAATTAACAATACCGGTAGGAAGACCAGATTTTTATAATCTCAGACTTTTATTTTTATTTTGCCCTCATTGACATTTGAACTCAAGAGTCCTGTGCTTACTGGCCTGGTACTCTACCACTTGAGCCATACCTCCAGCCTTGCTTTCTACTTACTGGTTCGAATATATAGCCTTTTCTGATTCATGTTTCCTGCAAATATCTTGCTAGGTAAGCATTTTTTTGAATTTGATTCTCTGGATCTCCGGAGTAGCTAGGATTTTACAAGTGTGAGCCATCCACACCCAGCTCATAATCTCAGAATTTGAGGTAAATTAACTGAGCAGCAATCCAATGGAATTGGATTTCATTCTTTGGCAAGGTACTTAACCTCCCAGGGCCTCAACTGTGCCTACAAAATGGAAACAAAGTTGCCTATCTCGCAGAGATGTTGTGATGCTTAAAAGGAGTACCAAGAAGCATAGAGATATAGACTAAGAGAGGAAACAAGGTATCCTAGAACACAGCAGTGTCTCAGCTGAATCAAATCAGATTGCATTCTGGGACTTGTAGTCTTTAGGGACTGCACTTTTCATACACAAGCAAATGCTCCCCTTCCCTTACTGAAAATAACATCATAAGGCACAGTATTAATTATATGGACTTTTCTGATTTATGTTTCTTGAAAATATCCTGCTAAGTAAGATTTAAAAAAAAAAATCAAACAGCTGTTGATGTGGTGACTAGATGTGTCCCCAAGAAGTCTCAGTCTTGGTTTGTGTTTTAAGCGGGACAATTTCTGTCTCGAAGCTCAGGACCGAATAATAAGCTGTTGATGTTAACAAAAGGTAAAGAAGTTCGGGTCAGAGTCCCACAACAGACTTTATATTTAACTTGCCAGGATAGTGGAAATCTATACAGCTAGGGAGACAGAAGCGACCCTGGCCAACCAATCTTGGTTTACAAAACTTTTAAACCCCACCCACCCAGCTTTTCGATCGGGCGCTAGTGGAGCTTTGCCCTCGTCTGGTAACAAGTGGCCATCTATCGCTTCCCCACTATGTGCCACGCTCTGTGCTCAGTATGCACTTTTCAGGATTTCATGAAAAGAACTGCACGCGTGAGCTCATTCTGCAACCCACTCGGCTCTCAACTCTGAAACGTTCCCTTCCGTCCGTACCCTCAGATCCAACCTGTCTAACTCCACTCGGGCCCAGGAACCCACTTCCTCCCAAGCAATCCGACTCCAAGGCCAGCACGGAGCCAAAGCACTTGTGGGCTCCTCCAGAGCCCCTCCCGCTCCGCACCCCAGCTCCAACCTGCCTCTAAACTTGTTCCAAGAATTGATTCCCGGCAAACTTCGGACTTAACGCAAGGCGCGGGGTCCCCTCACCGTCCCCACCCCCCTCCAAATCCCAAGGTACGCGGTAGATCACCCCACAGTTCAAAATTCATACACAACACAGAGGGCCCGGGCACAGCCGGTTCCGAACCCAGGCCAACTCCCCACACTCGCTCCACCAGGACCCAGGGCCGTCCACCCCCACGAAATCAGGCCCGGCCGGGGCCGCGGGGCCTGGCACCCGGACCCCCCCCCCCCCCAAGGGGAGGAAGGGAAGGAGGCTCCACCTGGCTCCGCGGGCGCCGCGCGCAGCTCCGGCTCCGGCCTGGGCCCCGCGGCGGCCGCGCCCCCGTCCCGGCGCGGGCGGCAGCGCTCCGGCGGGCCGCGGCGGGCGCGCTCGCCCGGCAGTTCGGCGTCGGCCTGGCCGTCGTCGCGGGCCCGACGGCGGGCCCAGCCCGGGCCGCGGACGCCGCAGCGCGAACAGCCGGGGCCCACCGCTTCCGAAGCGCGCTGGGTGCACGCCCCGCTCAGCGAGTGTCCGCACGGCACGGCCGGCGCTTCCCCCGGAGTCTCCAGGCACCCGGCGCAGCCCGACCCCTCCGGCCGCGGCGGCGGAGGCGGCGGCGGCGACAACACCAACAAGGCAGAACCAGAGGCCGAGCCTGGAGCCCCAGTCTTGGCGGCCGCCATCTCGTCACAGCGGCCTCGCCGGCCCCGCCGACTCAGAGCCGCCGCGGCCGCCGCGGAAGAAGCCCGAGTACTCGGACCTGCCGCCGCCATCTTGTTTTTCGTTTGAAGGGAGAGTCGGTTGCGAGGGAGAAGAGTGGCGGGCGGGACGGCGCGGGGCGGAGTTCTCTATCTGCATATTCATGAGGGGGCGGGTCTACGGCGGGCTTAGAAGAGGTTCTCCGACCTGGTTGGCGAGAGAGGACACCTCATTAATATTTATTAGTCATTCTCTTTATATCCGGTCTTCGGCCTCGCCCTAACAGTCTATTGCTGAACCCAGCTAGGATGGTTCCCTGCTGAAGGACTTTATTTGGAAATTCCGGACGATCTTAAAACTTCATGAAATAATTACGTATTCTATCTTGCAACATCCTGGTAGAATGAGCAAGCTACGGGGAGTGGGAATCATATGAAGTTTCCAGAAAGCTGCTTAGGGGCTGCATTGGATATAAGGGTCTGGGCTTTCTCTGAAGGATCGGATCACCCAGTACCTGTGATCTGATTATTGGCCTACTATGGCCAATAACTAATTGAATCAATAGCTGCTGAAAGTAACAGCCTCTAGTCAGTCCTGACTAGAGTCAGTCCCCCTCTTTACACATCCTTTCTTGAAACTCCCCTCCCTTTATTGGCAAAACCATACATCCTTGTTTTTGTTGGCTTTCTTCTCTTCCCTATTTCCTAGCTCCTCCAGTTCTGAGTCATACTCCTGTCTAGAACTCAACTGTAGATATTCTAATAGCCTCTGGTCTCTGTCCCCTTCTCTTCTCACTCTGCTTGCTTCTCTGGTCCATCTCTTGCTTTCTTCTGAATCTCTCTAGTTGGTTTCTGCAGGCCAGACTTCCTGAGACCCACCATGAAAATTTAGTTGCCTGATGGAGGATGTCTGCATCCCTTATTCCAAAACTAGCATTGCTTGCTGGTGTTACATTATATTTGGGGGGTTACACTTTGTTAAAAGAATTTGCCAAGCGGCTGGGAAGGTGGCTCAGTGGTAGAGCGCTTGCCTTGCATGCCTGAGGCCCTGGGTTCGATTCTTCAGCACCACATAAACAAAAAGAAAAAAGCCGGAAGTGACACTGTGGCTCAAGTGGTAGAGTGCTAGCCTTGAGCTGAAGAGCTGAGGGACAGTGCCCAGGCCCAGAGTTCAGGCCCCACGACCGGACCCCCCCCCCCAAAAAAAAAGAATTTGCCAAGAGAATATAAAAAAGCAAGGTTTCTTAGGGTATTGATTGAAAAAAGACAGACAAATAACAGGCAGCTAGGTAGAAAAGCAAGGTGCTGTCCCTGCCACTGCTCCTATTGCTTCTGCCCATGCTGTTACATAGATGTGGAGTTGAAGACAGGCTTTTACGGAGTTAGTGGGGATTTTGTTGATTGGCTAACTTTTTTTGTGGACCTATTGGTTAGCTGTCTCTTTTTCAGACCAAATTTGGCGGGAGCTGTAGCAACTTGAGCACTCCAACCTGGTCTGTTTGATGGGCTAGGCTCACTGTATTTCGAGTAGATTTTGGTATCTCTCTGTTCGCCATGTCCCTCCACGTAACTGTCTCCCACCTGCCTTTTAAAGCAGCTGTCTACTCCTATTATAGGCCCAACCTTAAAGCTCCAAACCTAGTCTTCTTTAGCCTCATCTTCCATATCTGCTTAGTCCAGTCAGTTCTTCCACAGAAATGACTTTCTCCACCAATCCTTTCCTTCTTATCCACTCGCACTGCCCAAATCATTTCTCATCATTTTTCACTTAGATTATTGCAGTAGCTTTTACAGATTGCCCTCTTATTGCACAAACTTTGTCCTCTTATTGCACAAACTCTCTTTTAATCCACAGTCTGCTTGTTTCAGAGTTGTTTCATAAAGGCCAGCTTTTGACGGTGTCATTCTAGCTTGGGCCAGGGGGAGGTGCTCAAACTTCATTACCCTTCTCTTTCTGAATGCCCAAGGGGTAGGGAAAAGAGAGGCTCCCCCTCCAAAGCCTGGAGAGATGGTTCTGCTACAACAGGCCTCCCACTCTGCTTCCTTTGCCCTAAGGTAGATTTGGAGCTAGAAAGGCATTACATAAAAGGCATTTCCTGCTTTATAGAAAAGCAGAAGCTGGGCTAGAAAGGTATCTCAGTGGTAGAGCGCCTGCCTTGCATGCATGAGGCCCTAGGTTCGATTCCTCAGTACTACATAAGCAAAAAGAAAAAAAGCCGGAAGTGGCGCTGTGGCTCAAGCTCTAGAGTGCTAGCCTTGAGCTGAAGAGCTGAGGGACAATGCCCACGCCCAGAGTTCAGGCCCCACGACTGGACCCAACAAAAAAAAAAAAAAGAAAGCACAAAAATAAAAGAAAGATTGATTCTTGAAATGAGAACCAGATGTCTAAAGGACAATTAAAAATTGAAGGGAGCTGGGAAGTTAGCTCAGTGGTAGAGTGCTTGCCTCACATGCATGAGGCCCTGGGTTCAATTCCTCAGCACCACATAACCAGAAAAAAGCTGGAAGTGGTGTTGTGACTCAAGTGGTAGGGCGCTAGCTTTTAGCTGAAGACTGAGGGTCAGTGCCAGGCCCGAAAAAGAAGATGGAGGAGGAGGAGGAGGAAGAGGGGTTGGGGGAGGAGGAAAAGAAGAGGAGGAGGAGGAGGAGGAGGAGGAGGAGGAGGAGGAGAGTGTCCTTTGTCCTTTGTCCATGGGACTTCTCTCCCTTCTTGAACTTGTTGAGGTTATTTTTCCCAGTTCTGACAAGAGAGGCCTATAGTTCAGAGATCATCTTTTGAAATGGAGTCCTTTATGTGAGCTGTTCACTTCTTTTTTACTGTATATTAATTGTACAAAGGGAGCTTATTGTTATATTGTCTATACAATGTAACTTCCTCTATTACTCTTTCATTCCCCCCTTTTTATTTTTATTTTATTTTTATTGTTATTATAAAGTTGATGTTCAAAGGGGTTACAGTTACATTAGTAAGGTAAAGAGTACATTTTCTTTTGGACAGTGTCACCCTTCCCCTTTTTTGTTTTTGGTGCCAGTCCTGGGGCTTGAGCTCAGGGACTAAGTGCTATCCCAGGACTTCTTTTACTCAAGGCTGGATCTCTAGTTTTTTGTTTTGGGGTTTTTTGTTTTTGTTTTTGTTTTTTGCTTTTTGCTTTTTTTTGGTCATTCATGGGGCTTGAACTCTGGGCCTGGGTGCTGTCCCTCAGCTCTTCAGCTCAAGGCAAGCACTCTACCACTTGAGCCACAGTGGCACTTCCAGCTTTCTAGTGGTTTATTGAAGATAAGAGTCTCCCGGATGTTTCTGCCCAGGCTGGCTTTGAACTGTGATCCTCAGACCTCAGCCTCCTGAGTAGCTAAGATGTGATAGATCTCTAGTTCTTGAGCCAACAGCTCCACTTCTGGCTTTTTTGGTAGTTTAGTAGAGAAAGTCTGTGAGATTTCCTGCCTGGACTAGCTTCAAACCATGATCTTCAGATCTCAGCTTCCTGAGAAGCTAGGATTACAGGTGTGAGCCACCAGCACTTGGCTCCCTCACTGTTTAAATAAAAAAACAACTTTAGTGATTTCATTATTGTTTTCATACTCTGGATAGCTTGGCCCTTTAAAGAGCTTATTTACTACTGGCCTGCAATGATGAAGCACCCTTTACTAGCTGCAAATAGAGACAGGAAATTTCCTTTTACAGGAGGGAAAAGTAGGAGGTCTTAGAAGCATTGGACCAGATGCCAGGAGATCACAGCTTAGATCTGGCCCCTTGAATTCACTGTGTGATTTCAAGGAGCTACCTTCTCTATGGTCCTCATCCTCCTTTAAAACAAAGGTGTTATAATTCTCAGCTGATATTCACCACATAAATATGCACCAAGGTTCCACTTCAGTGTTTTAGTGGGACCTACTCTTTGGTGGGATACCTGGATATGTATTTTTTTAATGTTATAATAATTTCAATGAATACTCCTAGGAAAACCCACCACTCTAGGTACGTTCAAAGGTCTATTCTGGCTCTAACATTCTAGAAGTCTGACTCAATTTCCAGTCTCTTTTCTCCCCTACGCTGTTGCCTACTAAAGCAGTAGCAGTGACAGAAGGCAAGGCAAATCTTAGAAATCCAGAATTATTCCTGATGAGAAAGGGAATGAGATAAGAATAAGTCTTAAGTTTCAAGCCTAGCAGCCTTGAATTGTGATCACAATTGCCTGCTGACAATAACAGAACTAGAAGACTAGCCTAAGCGGGGAAAGGGGTGGGGGGACTGAATTGGGCATGGTAGATATTTTGCTTGTTTTGCTTTGCCGAGACAGCATTCAAAACTCATTCCTGCCTGGGACAATGCCCCATTCTAAGGATAAAAGGGAAGAGGCTGAAGCAGGGGGCTATTCTTCTACTCTTCTCCCTGCCCTCAGCAGCCAGGACATGACACATGACCCGGGCTCAGCCCCCTTCTGACCTTCTAATCTCCAGTGAGTGGCACAAAGGCATAGAGACAATTGGAGTTGCTCTTAGCAACAGAATTAGTAGGTATCCAACTGCAATGGCAGCAGTGGCTGTCAGATACAGACTTGGAAGAGGGGTAGTTGGTGTTGTTACCTTGGGGATGGTGGCCGTGCCAGATTGTCCCTAAGACAGGAACTCATTGTGCACCCACTGCCTGGCCTTTCTAGATTATAACCACATCTGACTCTCCCACCTTCCTGTCACCCCTGCATCCTTTCAACAAATTTTCTTTTTTCTTTTTCTTTCTTTTTAGGTTGTGGGACCTGAACTCAGGGCCTGGGAACTGTCCCTGAGCTTTTGCTTAAGGCTTATTATACCCTACCACTTTGAGCCATGGCTTCACTTGCAGTTTTTAGGTAGTTAATTAGAGAAGAGTCTCATGGGCTTTCCTGCCTGGGCTGGCTTTGAACCTTGATCCTCAGAGATCTCAGCCTCCTGAGTAGCTAGGATTACAGGCATGAGCCACCAGTGCCTGGCTTCTAAATTCCATTTTTTCTGAAATCATTTACAATTTCTGTCATTTGCCCTAGGGTACTCTGACCAAGACGCTGGTTTTGTTTTTCAAAGATTACCTAAAAAAATGGTTATTAAGAGTT